CATGAGCAATAGATCAGGGTTTCAGTTTTTTCACATCCCTGTCAACACTTGTTATTTTCCACTTATTTGATTATATAATGGTTATAAAGCAGTATCTTATTGTAATTTTGATTTGCATTTCCTTAATGACTAATTATGTTTCAATATTTGTTCACATGCTTACTGGCCACTAAGATACCTTCTCTGTAGAAATACCCATCCAAATCCTTTGCTTGTTTTTAAATGGATTATTTGTCTTTTTACTGTTGAGATGTATGAGGTGTTTATATATTCTGGATAGTAGGCCCTTAGAAGATATAAATTTGAAAATACTTTCTCCTATTCTGTAGATTGTCTTTTTACTTTCTTGAAAGTGTAAGTGTCCTTTGATGCACAAAAGTTTATTTTTTATTTTTTGACATAGTCTAATTTATCTATTTACATGTTGTTGTTGCTTATACACTCAGAGTCAAATCTAAGACCAGTGACAAATCCAACATTACACAGATTGACAGCTATATTTTCTTATAATAGTTTTATAGTTTAAACAATAACTTTTAGGTTTTTTGACCCACTTTGAGTTAATTTTAATATATGTTGTGAAGTAGGAGCCCATCTTCATTTTATTGCAAGTGGATATTCAGATGTCCTAGAACCATTTGTTGAAAAGAATATAAACTACTTTTGAACATTTTTGGCACCCTTGTTGAAATCAATTGACTATAGATACATAAAGATTTATCTCTGAAATAATTATATTTCATTGCTCTATATGTCTGTTCTTATTTCAGTACTATCTTTTCTTGATTACTCTTGTTTAGTAGGAAGTTTTTAAATTGAGAAGTGTAAGTTCTTCAATTTTATTCCTTTGCAAGATTGCTTTGTTGATGCTGGGATCCTTGAATTTCCTTACGAATTTCAGGTTAAGTTTTTTTATTTCTGAGAAAATAGAAGGTAGTTGGAATTTTGATAGGAATTACATCAAATCTGCAGGTCAATTTTTGAAGTATTTTCATCTTAACAATAAATAAAATATGCCTTTTATTTATGTAGGTGTTATTTATTTCAATTTTTCTTTTTTTTTTTCTGTCACTGCATAAGCCTTCACCGTACATCTTGCACTTCTTTGGTTAAATTTATTTCTAAATATTTTATTCCTGTTGATGCCAATGGAAATAAAATTGTTTTCTTAGTTTGGTTTTCACATCATTTATTGTATCAAAATACACTATTTAAAAATATTGAGCTTATAACCTGCAACTTTGTAGAACAAATTTATTAGTTCTGATAGATTTTGTGGATTTGGGGAGATTTCCTATATACAAGAGAGTGTCATCTGCAAATAGAGATAGTTTTGCTTTTTCCCTTAAAAATCTAAATCTCTTTTATTTCATTTCCTTGCCTTATTGTTCTAGTTAGAAGTTACAGTACATTATTGGAAAACAATAAGGGTAGTTTTCTTTTTGATTTTCAGATAAAAAGTTTTCATTCTTTCAGAAATAAGCATGACCTTGTTTTTGAGAAAATTCTTCTATTTGCACTTTTCAGAGAATTTATTCAATCATGAAAACATACTGGATTTTGCTAATTATTTTTCTACATCTATTGAGATGATCAATTCCCACCCTTACATCAACCTTGATTCTATAAATATGGTGTTTTCAGCAATTCATTTTCTTATTTTGAACCAAGCTATCATTCCTTGGATAAATCCCACTCGGTCAAGGTTTACCATCTTTATTACATGCTGCTGAATTTACACTGGTAGTTTTTATTGAGTATTTCTGCATTTAATATTCATTACGGGTACTGGTCTGTAGTTATCTTGTGATGTCTTTGTCAGGTTTTGGTATTATGGTAATACTGGAGATGGGAATTGGTTGGAATGTATTTCCTCCTCTTCTATTTCTTAGGAGAGTATTTAAAGAATCATAGTAAATATTTGATAGAATTCACCAACAAAGCCATTTTGTCTCCTAAAGGAAAAACACATAATATTAAGATTTACTCTCAACACTTAATTTATGTGAGTTTTGACAAATACAGACTCATGTATTCAACATTGAATTATCATACAGAATAATTTCATTGTCCTTATAAAATCAGTCTTTCTTCAGTTGCTTATTTTTTATTTTTTTATTTTTTTATTTTTTGGAGATGGGATCTTGCTCAGTTGCCCAGGCTGGAGTGCAGTGGCGTGATCTCAGTTCACTGCAAGCTCCGCCTCCCGGGTTCACACCATTCTCCTGCCTCAGCTTTCCAAGTAACTGGGACTACACGCGCCCATCACCATGCCTGGCTAATTTTTTGTATTTTTAGTAGAGATGGGGTTTCATCATGTTAGCCAGGATGGTCTCGATCTCCTGACCTCGTGATCCGCCCACCTCGGCCTCCCAAAGTGCTGGGGTTACAGGCGTGAGCTACTGCCCCCGGCTTCAGTTGCTTGTTTCTCTTTCCTTACTTCTTCTACCCCAAACTCCTGACAACTACTAATCTGTTTACTAATTTTATAGCCTGGTTTTTAAAAAAAACTTTTTTAATAAACAACATATTGCCTTTTCAGACTGTCTTCTTTTATTTAGCAATATACATTTGAGTGCATCTATGTCTTTATGTGGCTTTATAGCTCATTTGCTTTTATCACTGAATTGTACTTAATTATATGGATGTACCACAGTTTATCGATTCACCTTGAAAGACATTGTGGTCCCTCCCTGTTTTTGGTGATTTTGAATTAAGTTGCTGTAAATACTCATGTGCAGGGTTTTTGGTAGTTGCTAAATTTTAAATCAGTTTGGTAAATATCTAGGTGTGTGACTGCATGATCTATGGTAACATTACAATTGGTTTTGTAAGAAATTGTTAAACAATTTTCCAAGGTGGCCATACCAGGTTTAATTCTCACCATCAGTGAGAATTCCTGTTGTTCCACATCCTCATCAGTAATTGGTATAGTTATATGTTTGTTTGTTTTGTTTTGGATCTTACTCATTCTGGTATGTGCGCAGTAGTAATTTATTGTATGTTTAAATTCTTTAATTTTTAATTTTTGTGGGTACATAGTAGGTGCATATAATTATGTAGTACATGAGTTGTTTTGATACAGGTACTTGTATTTCCATAGTCACAAATGATGTTAAACATATTTTCATGTACTTGCCATTTTTATGTTCATTGGTGAACTCTCTGTTCAGATCTTTTTCTCATTTTAAATATTTTCCAATTTTCTTAAAGTGTTGTTGAACTTTAAGAGTTCTTGCATATTCTGGATATGTCCCTTAGTTTTATTATTCATAAAATTAGGATAATAATTGTAATCTCATTGGTAAAAGGTTTAGTTGAGAAAATGCATGTAAAAATTTAGTAAAGCAACTGAACCCCATAAGTGGTAAATAAGTCTATTAGGCTGGGAACAGTTCTGTTCTAATTTCACTTACTCAAAGCCTATCACAATAAAGAAAATCAATAAAAAGTTGTTGAATTAATGAGTAAATCTGAAATAGGTGAAATTCAGGCTTGTTTGTTTGAATATAACCTTTTACACACTCTACATCACATCAACTAGCTTGAGCTTAAATACAGTAAAAAAAAAAAAAACAAAAAAACAATATGTACTATCACGGACACATGCAAATTTGTTTTCTAAAATAGTTTTCTGCAAACTATTTGTTTCCCCTTCTCTGTTATCCATATAGTTGTTATTCTATACTCAAAATACAATACAAGCAATTGTTTTCTCTATACAGGTAAAGTTTCCCACGAATATGTTCCATAATATGTTCTTATATCAAAAATTCATAATATCATGGTAATAAAATATTTGAAAAGAACTTCAAATTCCTGAACTTTAAAAAAAGTATTTCTAAATGCTCTTGTATCAATTAAAATGTTATTTTAAAACAATTATTCCCTACCACTTTGCTGTTTTACAAATCAACTGCCTTAATAGTTAAGCATATCCTAAACAAATCACACTTAAAATCATTTTAGAATTTCAAATTGCGTAGTTGTCTCATAGATAAAGTAAAGATAAGTGAAAGGTTGGATTTAAATGATAAAAAAAAAATTACAAATAAAAGAACATATAAAATTAAGTTGATTCCCAGTATTTCTAAGCACATTGGTAAATATTTGGCAAAAATAAAAATAAAAATAAACTCAATTTGTTTTGTGAGGATGCTGGTTCTTAATTAAACAAGTAGTTCTTATATATGAAACACTGCATAAAAGCACAGAATTTTGGAATGAAAAGATACTGGGAACACAATACCTTCATCTGAGACATTTAGAGATACAGAATCTGAGTACTAAATAATTTCAATGAATTAGTACATGTCCAAAGTTACACAAGCAATTAATTGCAAAAACAGGCCTCTACTTTTTTATTTTGTGTTTCAAAAGATGGGTTCACAACTCAAAACCATACTTTCAGGTTATGTGAAATAAGACAATAAAATGTATCTACCTAACAAGTGATTGAACTACTTTGCTTCATATAGGGGCATCCAAAAAAAAAAAAAGCAAAGAACAATTTCTCTTTATTTAATTTTATTTATTTATTTATTTGTTTGTTTGTTTATTCATGAGACAGGGTCTCGCTCTGTCACCCAGTGGCACAATCTCTGCTCACTACAGCCTCCGCCTCCCAGGTTCAAGCGATTCTCCTTCCTCAGTCTCTCGAGTAGCCGGGATTACAGGAAGGTACCACCACACCCAGATAATTTCTGTGTTTTTGGTAGAGACAGGGTTTCACCATACTGGCCAAGCTGGACTCGAACTCTTGACTTCCGGTGATCTGCCTGCCTCAGCCTCCTAAAGTGCTGGGATTACAGGCATGGGCTACTGTTCCGAGCAAATTTTCTCTTTAGTTAAAGGAAAACCAAAAATATCTTTTTTCGTTTGGAAGGATGGAAAATTATAAAAACTGACGGAGCGCAGGACCAACTGCAAAGTGGTAGAAAGCAGTGTAAAGGTTATTAGCAGTGATTCTAGATTCAGAAAAATTTCTGAAAGAATACTGACCTGTCAATAATAATTCTGAGAATTTGCTCCTAAATTAATCACCTTCAGCCTCAGTTTTCTCATCTGTAAAGGGCAGTTAATAAAAATTATTAGTTCATAAGATTTTTAAGTATGAACTGAAATAATACACATAAAACACACAGAATCTAGAATACAAATAATGTTTGAAATAAATGTTCTCAATGTGCAATTTATAGAAAGGAAGTGTTTCAAAGTTGTATAATGGGCACACCAAGTAATCAAAAGTCTTTACAAAAATTTTATTTATTTTTATATGTGTGTGTATTTGAACGCGTGTGTGTATATATGTATATACATATGCATATGTATACATATGTGTGTGATTGTGTATAGCAAGATGTCCTACTAAAGACTTATATTTTTGTTGTTGTTTGGAATTTTGAATACCAGAGCACAAAAGGAGCAAAAAAGTTGTATTGGTTATATTTGGCAGAATAAAGGATTATTGATGCGGCTTTAGGCTTAGAAGTGAATCTCCCGGTTGGAAAGGTAAAAATGGTTTTGGGTAAAAGACTCATGACAAAACCATATGAACAGAGCATTCCTGGGACCACTAGCGACTTGAGGATCTGAAGGTAGGATTAAATGTGCTAACAAACACTTTGATAATTGAACAAGTGAGTAAAACCGTGGACAGAGTTTAAGAGAGAAGGAGACATAGATCTAAAAACATGATTCAGCAGATTTCTACAACTCCCACATCAATTTTTCTGAGCTGTAATTGTATGTAGCTTGGAGAAGCAACAACAATGCTACTGAACAGGCTTCAGAATATCCCCATTAAAGCCTGTAGCACCAACCTCTTCCTCAGAACTTCGTGCATTTTCACATTTTGGAAAGAGGAGGGTGAAATGCAAAGAGATTAATACTAGAATTTCAGCTCTTCTGGCCCATTAGAGATAGCTCCAATCTTGAGGATTAAAAGATATGTGACCTTATCAGAGTGCAGCATTGATTGAGTGCACCTTATTATGATATATTTTTCTCAAGGTGGTTCACCATAGATGCACTTTATTCAATTGTCCACAACTTGTGGCCCTAGACTCCTGGAAAGAAATATCACTATTTATTAGAAACTACTTCAGAATGAATTGAGGCCTTGGTCTTTATAAAGTGGCTAAGCCATTAAACATAAAAGACGTTATTACTTGTCAAAAGTTCTTCCTTTTTACAAATATTTTACACTTTTCTGCGACTTACCTGTAGTACAGGAAAAATTGGCATTGTAAATAATGTAATGGTCTTTGAACTAGAACAACCTTTAAAAGAGCATCTGATAAAATCATTAGTTTTACTCTCTCTAATAAGCAAGTATTTATTGACTCTCAGTTAGGAGCACCCTGCTAAGCTATTGGAATATGGAAGAAAATACATTTTCTCACAAAATAGCTTATTACCCCATTTCATAAATATGAAAACTGAGGCTTGAATAAAAATTAAGTTACTTGACTGCTTGATCAGGTATAAAGGACTGAGTAGGACCTCGAATCCAGTTCATATTTTAGTATTGTGCAATTAGTCAATACATTAATATGCTTTGCAATGATAATCTCAAGTTAATGGCAGTTTCAGTCAAGGATTAAGATATTACCCAATACTGTGCACTGATTACATGCAATTAATTCCTATGCATGGAATAAAATTGTCTTAGCTTACTAAGAAATACATATACATTCCAACATATATGTTCTATATTACAATACAGCAAAATTTCTGGAGACTTAACATAGACCTTGTTTTTCTACAATTCCACATTGTGGCCAATGGTAGAAATCTACGAAACCAAAGGTATATGGGAACATTTACCACAAACAGCTACTGAATGAGACAGAAGAATGGTTATGAACACTGAGAAAGTAGAAATACTAATTAATATTGTACATTAAACCCCTAAAGGGTAATGAAGCTAGACACTGCCTGTTAGTCTCTACAGGCAAGATTAAAGTTGGAAGCAACTGCCTTATTATTTAAATGGCTTGTGCTGTATACTCAAACTATAGACAATATCCAGCAGTGAGATCATTTTTAGGCAAGGCAATGAACATCATTTGAATACAATTACTTAAGCAAGTGAGCATCTGTGACTTTTTTAAAAAAAATGACCAAATGCTAGAAATTGAGAAGTCAAGATGCTTTTTCTTAAAAGAGGCAAAACATAAGCAAAACACATAAGACAGAGGTTAAAAACAAACAACTGCTTGTTGTTTGTAAGTTCCATGAGAGGTTTTTTTTTTGTTTTTTTTTTTTTCACCTAAACAGTATTTTTGTCTTTTGCTTCTGAAACAATTTGCTACTGAAAAGTTATTTTTATCTTAATAAAATAATTTCCAAATATTATGCAGAAAGGCTTCATTTAATAACGCTTTCTGTAAAATTATGCTCTTTTCCTTTGTAAAATTCTTGTGCATATACTTCTTGACCTTCATTTTAGAAAGATATACACACTTCTTTTTAAGGTACAAACTATTTTATTTAAATAGTGGTTTACTTATTTTTCTCAGAAAACATTCTTCTGAGAAAATGAGCAAAGACATTGCCTTTTACTTATTAAAACGAATCTTTGGTATCCAAAACAAACTTTTGTTAGCCATTCATAGGTAAATGATGTTAAGTTAATGTTGTTTAAGATGAGTATGAAGAATAAAAGGGGATAGGGGATGCAAAATTACAAATAGCAGACATATAGTTATAGTCTAAGGTACATCAAAAGATTTATCATGATAGAATTTTTTTGTAACTAGGCCTTCAATGTGATACCTCATTACATAGGACAAAAAGTAGATAATTTGTCATTATAAAACTATAAGACCAAAATTCAAGATATGATAGTCCATCAGAATAGCTGGGAAAATTAAGAAATTAAAATATTTTAAAAAGCAACAAAAAGCAAAACTTCAATGTGTTCTTTGTTACCTATATTACTGTTTTTTTAAAATATAAATGAAATATTAATATTATAAAATCAGCACGAAACATTGCTATTTTATTTTCAATCTATATATTACATAAAGACAGTACATCTGAAAGACTTTTTGTAATTTTAGACGAACAGTTTGTAATGACTTAAAAGAAAATGCATCATATGTAGAACATGCTTAGTAAGAGACAGGGTTAGATCATGCCTGAACAATATTTAGAAGCTAGACAGGCCCAGAAAGAGATGTGATTGTTTTGAAGATGTACAAGAGTAGACAACTGATAAGGATTCAAGCAAAGAGTGCTCAACTCGAAAAATTCGAATGACTGTTGAAAAATAGATCCAATAATCTGCATATCTCCAATGTCCATAATGAGCTACAGGTCTCACTATTCCTGATTTTTAAAATTCAAATAAAAAATGTATATTGTTTTATGCTCATTTCTTTGGGAAAGATGTTTGAAAATTTTAACTTTTATTTATTCTGTCATTTTCCAAGCCCTAGTCCCTAGAATGAAACTGTCTTGGCCAAAGCTACCTAAATAACAGAACTTAAAGCAAAAGTCAATTACCAACTATTTCCTGGGGAATGTAATCCCAGGGAGATTAGAGAGAGAGAAAAAAAAAAGAAAAGAAGCCTGGGAAGGAGAAAAAACAAATATGATATGGTACATTACAAGTCTCTCCCATGCTCCAACAGAAACAACAGAAAATGTGTTGCTTATTCATATGGGATATCTTCTAAAAGGAAGGGCAAGAGATTTATTTACAAAGTACTTGCCATCTCCTATCTCTTATTGGTCAAATATTACTCCAAGATAAATTAATTCCTGCATACTACCTTATAGTTAAACATACCTATAAATAGCCACAGGTTTAACACAGAACATGATGTTTTCTCTGAGCCCAGAAATGAAGAAAAGGCTCAGAGCCCTGTGAAAGTTGATTATACAAACTGGAATTATTGTTGTTATACCTAACTAAAATGGAGTCAAGAACCCATGCAGAGAAAGTATTTGGGTCACAAAGACCTACTCCAGGAACTGTCTCACAAACCCAATTTCAAGGCAAAAATGGCATGCTATGACTTTAAGACAAGTTTTACCTAATGACGTCACCACTCTCCCATAAGAGCTTATCAACCGCAGTATAACACCACAAGCACGCCAATGAATTTCTTTCAAAACAGCGTACTTAGCTTTATTCTTTTCCCAAAAACTCTAGTGTTTTCTTTGTTCTTCAGATGTACCAGAGGCTTCCCTGATCTATATGTCTATTCTGAATTGCAATTCTACTTCTAGTATATTATTCCCAAATACATCCTTTACTTGAAGTTCGATCTCTCTCTCTCTCTATCCGCCCCCCATCTCTTTCTTTCTCTCTCTCTCTCTCTCTCTCTACACACACACATACACACACACACACACACACACATGGTTCTTCTCACACTTTATTTAAGTTGCAGAATATCAGCTATTTTCCCATAACTTCCGCTTACATTTTGCATAGTAGTTAGCTCTTATCAGACTTCCCTTTCTGGTGGCTCTAAACATCTCTCTTTCTCTCCCTATATCTACAGAGAGAGTTCTTGCTATAGAGCACCGTAGAGCTAAGAGCAAACCTAGGAAAATGAATACTTCAGATATGAAACTCCAACAACACATTAGCTACAGATTCATTGTTTAGGAAACGGGTATACACTACCTCATCTGTATATTTTTTGTCAAAGTAGCCTCTTTATCTGTATTCTCAATGCAATATAATTGGTGGTAATACATTTAACCATGAATGTTTTTGGGTCAAATGGAATTTATTCATTTATCATGCTACTTTTGAGCTTCTACTATGCATTGGATTATACAAGGGACTTAAAGATGAATAAGTCATGAGCTCTACTCCAAAGTGTAATTAGTCAGAGTCGCTGTCCAAAGACTCACAGGTGCAAATATATTCATAATGGCTCTGTATAACAGAATGGGAAGAAGGGAGAGTTTCTGAAAATTTTATTACTTTGTGTGTGTGTGTGTGTGTGTGTGAGTATGTATGTGTGCATGTATGTGTTTTCTTCCTTGTTTTGGGTTTTAAAATAGTTTTAGAAGAGATGTTCATTTGACTTTGGGGTCTAAGAAAAGCTATACTAAAATCTTGTACATAACTTTTAAATGATAATAATATTTTGTATATTGTTTGAGACAAAGCTTTCTTTAAGAATTCAGAGAATGTCTAGTTCAGGATTCACTTTATTAACATAGATTTGAGAATCAACCCCCTTCCCTATGACTAAGCTGTTTTTAGGCATTAATGATGCCTTCCAGTTGCCTTTCTTAAGGCTTAAATAAAGGTACTATTCAGGGCTCAAATCACACTGACAGGTGCTGGAGTTTATATTGAGATTGTGAAGGTAGCACTGTTTGTTGGCAGTTGGAAAAACAGCTCAACGATTGCCACTATGTTATTATAAGTTTGGCATAAAAAGAAAAACCTTTTAATGAAGTACTAGACTGTTTGTTGATTATACTGAAGTATTGCAAGGTTAGCATACCAACTGTATTAATTTCCTATCGTTGCTATAACAAATAACCACGAATTAGCGGCTTGAAACAACATATATTTATTATTTTATAGTTTGGGACATCAAAAGTCCATAATTAGCCTCGATGGACTAAAGTCACAGTGTTGGCAGGTTGGTTCTGTCTTAAAGATAAAGAATCTCTGTTTTTACTTCTTCCAGGATGAGTGTTATCCTTATTTCTTAAGTCTTGGCCCCTCATTACATGGCTTTTTCTCCTTTTGCTTTTGTTATCATAAAGTCTATTCTGTGCTTTCTCGCCTTTCTTCTTTTCTCTTATAAAGACCCCTAGGGATTGGACCCACCAGGGTAATTCAGGATAAATTCCTCATGCTAAGTTCTTTAATTTATACACATCTGCAAAGTCATTCTTTGTCATATAAACTAACATATTTACATGTTATGGGGCTTATGTGGACATCATTGAGGCTGTTATTCTCTCTATCACACACATCAAATTCAGAGCAATAAATAATGACTTTTGTGGTTTCTTATAGGGCAACAAATAGATTCTTCTGACATCTTATTTAAGTCGCAGAATATCAGCTGTTTTCTTACAACCTCCACTTGTATTTTGAGTAGTATTCAGCTCTTACCAGACTTCCCTTTCACGCATCTAAGAAATGGTGGCTCTGAACATCTCTTTTACTGAATTCATTAGCTGAAAGAAAATCAATAAAACAATCTGTAGGGTATGCTTCACTAATGGGCAAATATAGCTAGTTCTGTCATAGAGTATTTTTAAACTAAAAATTACATCTGTAATTATAAGTCTTTACTTCTTTGAACATGTAAATACAAATAATAACTAAATCTGTAAACACAAACTAAATCTATAAAACACAATCTCACTAAATGTTAGTCATAGTTCACTCTATTGTATTCCTTATCTCATTACCTAGCTTTCTGTCTGTCTTTTAACTGTCCATCCATTTATTACCTTTTCTTGAACAAGCAAGGAAGGATTTCTCTGATAAATTACCTATATTTACTACTCTATTTAACTGAAATTTTATACCTAATGCCTCTTACATTTAATTTTACCTTCTGAATTTCTTCTGTTTCATTCCAGTGAAGTGAATTTTATGACTTGTCATGATAAAACCTATATCAAAATATAAACTTAAAGATTTCTTCTTTTAATCTTGAGTTTCTCAATTCATTCCATGATATAACTCTATTTTGAAATAATGTTAGTTAACATCCTATAAAGCTACGGCTTTTATAGAGCCCACAATGTTTAGGGAGGAGCATTTTATATTGATTGGATATTTAATTCTATTTGGTAATTTACTTAATTTTCCTAGGTGAGTTTTTTTATGAACCACTGATCCTCTCATTCATACTTAATTTCATTGAATACCAACTTTGTGTATTACGCTAAAATGCCTTTAAATGCATTCAGCTTAACTAGCATATTTAAAGTTCATAATCCTGTACAGGAGTTTTTAAATATCTTCACTTATAGATAAGAATCAGAAAAAAAAACAAAAACAAAAAAACAAAATAAAACAAAAAAAAACGAGGCTAAATCTTCAGGGAGAAAATTGCAGAAACAAATTTCAAGGAGATCTATCTCAAGTGCCCATTTTATTTATCACTGATCATACTATTTTTCAATATAATATTTAACTACAGGTGCTTTATTGATAAAACTACTCAAAAAGGGCTTTAGCACAAACATTAAAAATTAATCTATTGGCCGGGTGCTGTGGCTTACGCCAGCACTTTGGGAAGCCGTGACGGGTGGATCACGAGGTCAGGAGTTTAAGAGCAGCCTGGCCAAGCGGGTGAAACCCCGTCTCCACTAAAAATACAAAAAATTAGCCAGGCCTGGTGGCGGGCACCTGTAATCCCAGTTACTCGGGAGGCTGAGGAAGAGAACTGCTTGAACCCGGTAGGCGGAGGTTGCAGTGAGCCAAGATCGAGCCACATAGCTCCAGCCTGGCAACAGAGCAAGAAATACATATATACATATATTTCTAATCCTCGTGGACAATGACAGAGAAGAAGTCTGAACTGACTGGAAAGTAAAATATCTTTGAAGAAAAAGGAAATCAAGTTCTGGCAGTATTTATGCATGGCAAATGATTGTTAAGGGCGGCGGGGGGTGGGGGGATTAAAAATAGCACCATTGGTACATAGTAGGATTCTTTTCTTATTGACAAAATTTAGTAGCGTATGAAACCACCAATTAAAATAGTCTTCCCATATTATACTGGAACATGGACTAGATAGAAGTCAGAGAACCTGAGAAATCGAGCGGGAGCAGGTTGATTCAACTTGCTTTGATGAGTGGCTGGGTGGCGTGTGCAGGGGCAGGCTCTGAATAATTAATAAACTACATGAACAGGGCCTGGTTTGTAGTAGTCATTCAATACATATTTGTTGAAAATGCTGTTGATTGTTTTCATTGAGGTCCTTAGGTGAATCCAAAATCAGCATGCTACAAGGATTTACCAGAAGGTTGAGAAACTGAGATCTGAACCAAAGAGCAACATACACCAGAGATTTGCATATGGAATCTGAAGAGATAAATATGGGGAAAAACATGTTCATTTGAGTAATGGGGGTACCTAAGATCTCAGAACCTTATTTTAAATGCATACCTATACTTTTAATATTTTCAAATATGTTGTATTTTGTTAAAATGCTTTATTATAAAATTCATGAATTATGGTTTTTAAAATAAATATTTCTGAGAGTGCTGGTATAGCAGAATAAGAAATCTAGCAAATAGAATGGAAACATATATATGTATGTATATAATTTTACTATACATGTTAAAATTAAACACATTTTATATACATACTACTTGAAATATGTATTGATTAAAATTATAATACTTTTTTGCTAGATATTTTTAAGCTTCATACTATCCAAAATAGCTAACTTATTTTATGTTGCCTTATATCTTAAAATAAAATAACAGTTATTGAAATATACTATTTTTAACTCTAAAGTACACCAACTTGTTTATTCACCTTAGGAATCTAACATTTTATTAGGTCAAGTTATAAAACTTGACTCTTCTAGTGACATTCTTAGGAATATTTTCAATGTTGATTCATATTTTTCTATCCCTTTTCTCATGTAAGAATAACATGTATGCTATAGCATTAAATTTTTCTTCAAAGAGAAAATCATTATGTGATTATAAATTTGACATGAAATAAGTAATTTTAGACAAACATACTAAAAATAAAATTTCCTAAATAAAATCTTATTAAGATTAAAGAATTGTCTTTCCATATATATCCAAAACCTCCTTAAATTAAGGAAAAGGTAATGCTAACAGCCACAATAATAATGCAGAATAACAATAATCATCACAAAACTAGCAATTATTGAACTCTTACCACGTGTCAGATTGTCTCCAGCACTTTATCTCATTAGTATATTAAAATACAGAAAACAAAAAAATGATAGGAGGATAAGATGCAGAGGATGAAAGTAAACACTTAAGGGAAGAAAGTATAATCAAGATGGGAAAAGAAAATAGAAATAAACTGAAGAGAATATGTGAGAAAATACGACTTAACGCTTAGTGAAGTTGGCGTTCCTAGATTTAAAATGAAGAACAGCTGCCAAGGCTTTGGTAAAGCACTCAAGGCTGTGTATTTTTTATAGCACCCTCCCACTCTGCTTAGGAGTGTAGGCCTCTGCTGCTAGCTGTACTTACTGAGCCAAGCATAGCAAGAAGAAAGTCATCAATTACTCCCCACTCAATGTACAAGGCAAGAGCCTGCCCTCTTGAATGTGTGTATAACTCCCTGAGACTTGAATGAAAGTTAGGTGTGTGTAATTGAGGATAGAATTTGACCCCATGAGGCTGAGTGAGAAATGATTGATTGTTTTGAACTCCAGTAGTTCTTTTTGAATTAATGGACTTCAACAGGACCCAAACTGTGCCCTGGAGATTTTGGTTCCCATTTTAAATGATAGCCATTCTTTCAGACAGAGGTTCATGTGTATTAGCCAAAGCAAGATTCTAGAAGCCTGCTCAAGGATATGGCAGTCTGTTTTAATTAATGAAGTTCAGAATTATTGGACGTGCCAGGGCTCAACATTTCAAAAAGAAAATAAATTCTATTCCCTTATCTTTAAAGTACAAATGCAATTACAAAGCATGAGGATATTCTTGCATGTCTTACAGATAGTCCTTACGTGTGTGGGGCAGTCCTAGGGGCAATGCCTTATAAGTAGTGTCCTATTATGTTTTAAATTTTGGTAATTTTGTTAATAAGTCAAAGCAAGTTTAAATTACTTTGTTTTTCTGTCCTTTATATTTTGTCTGGAATTAAAACCTTCGACTGTACTCAAAGGCAAAATGTAAATAAATATATGTTTTATTCTATTTTACTCTTCAAAATTTTTGAAAAATTATATCCTCATTGTCTTTCTGACACTGGGCTCTCCTCCAGGTATCTCTTTATTACTCATTACATGTTTTGTGCAGGTTCAGCTTCCATAGACACTATGAATGCTTACAATATCCCTAGCAACTGTTCTCAGATTTTTCTTTTAGAGAGCCAATGCCACTATTTGCTAATGAAGTTGTATCGCACTGTTTCAGGGGATGTATAACAGGTGTTTCTTTATTTTAATTTTAATATTTAAAATTCAAGAGATACATTGATTGTGCCAAGTTGATGCACTTTACTACACTATTCATCCTCTTATTTTTAATAGCATTTCCAATTTGTACTATTTTGCACAGTGTAAACTGCTTTTGAGTTATGCAAATATTAATAAATGTCACTCTCCAATTCACTTAAATGGCACTAAGTTAAGAGTACATCAACTTTCAACTCTATGAAAAACAGACAATTGGTGCAATTTAAGAGTGTTGTATACCTGACGGTAGACAAACTGAATGCATAGCAATCTTGAGCTAATTCAGTTTGTCTCAATTCAATGTAACTCCACAAATATTTATTGAATATCTACTTTGGCAAAAGACTATCCCTGACAATGTTGTATATACAGAAATAAGTAAGACATGGCCTTTGATCTTAAAATTGTTACGACCCATCAGATAAAATAAGCATGAACGCATATTCTAAATATTAGGCACATCATGGTACATCTGGCACTAGAAATACTAACAAAGGGTTCTGTAACACAGAAGGAATTGAGATTAATGATGAATAAAGACATTTTAGAATGATTCATTTAGGAGTCCGCATTGTATTGTGGGATCTGGCCAGCAGCCTGCAATGCAGTGGGGCTCTTTCTTTGTTTCCAGGCGGATCATCAGGTTGAGAAATAATAGACACAGACGAGATAGAGAAAGCTGGGTCTAGGGGGTCACCGCCTTCTGATCCCGGAGTGCCACCAATGCGCCGGATATACTAGCATTTATTATTAAGTTTAGTGAGGGTGAGGATAGGTTAGTGAGGAATTTAGGGTCATTTGATTATGAGGTGAGATGGTCACATGGGAATGAAGTAATTCTTTAACATAACATCTGTATTCGGAAGTACAGTATACAGAGGTAAGAATTTACAATATAGTGTGTGCATCAGTAATTTCTAACAGAGCCTTAAAACAGAAACACAGTCTTTCCATAACCTATAATTAGCAAGATATTAATCAGCAGTAACAGTTGCAGCAAAAGATGGTTACAAACAATCCATAGGAACAGGAAATGAAGCTAGACAACTGGTTAGACCAGAAATTCTCAGAAGGGAGTATGCCTTAACCCTAAAGAGGCCTGGAAGAGCCGTGGCAAGATGAGGGCGTTTATAGCCCTATCTTATCCATATGGACAGGTCCCCCGCCATGCATCCATTTATAGTCTCTCCACGAGGGTCGCATTCCATTCCCAGAGCTAAGAACATCTGCTTTTCTGCGATGGGAATCTTGGTGATGTGAAACCTCCCTGACTGCACGTCCATTCATAGACTCTCTGCAGGGAGAAGCACATCACGCGCTGTTGGTTCATTCTGGCAGTCCATCCTGGCCTTGTCTTTCACAATCCTACATGCAATTTTGTCATCTCAATAATCATGAGCATTTCATCTTTTATTCCATAGCAATAGTTTCAGGGGGTCTCCCTACAGCTCTTCCTTTTCTCTGATTTAAATGAACCATAGCAATCATACCTTGGTGCTGATTATGATTGGATTGAAGAATATTTTTTCCAGTTTTACACATGAGCAATAAACCAATAGAACAAATTATATGCAGAACAAAGTTAACAATAGTGGGTCATCCAAAAGATTTTACCCATTGAATGGGGTTGAGATTAGATAACCCCTTAGAGATACCATCTAAAACTTCAGCACCAGGTAAAGCAGTTAACTGTGCTTGAGAGGCCTCAAAAATCTGTTCTTTTAGCTTGCTTATGTCTAAACTTAAATTATCTTCACTTCCTTGTAAATGGTGTTTTACTGATTTCCAATTGTGAACAGACTCATTGTGTTGAAATGGGGTTATACAAAAATCAGAAGTATTCCTATAACATTGAATTTGTAATCTATGTTCTAAACTCATAATTTTATCGCCCATCCATATAATAGTTTGCCTTAGGTCATTAATTTGATTGGCCAATTTTTGATCAATAGCTGACTGAGAATTCCACATCCAAGTAGAGGTTTTTTGTTTTGTTTTGTTTTGTTTTGTTTTTTTTTGCCATTTATCCACACAATGAGCAGTTTGAATAGATTGATGTAATGCAACTCCAGCAGTAGCAGCAGTCACAGTAACAGCAATCAAACCCATTATTACTGCAATTAATTTAAAAATAAATTGTTAATCCTTTTAAGAATTTTTTGTAATATATTGTTAATAACATGGATAGAAGGGAAAGATTTCCAAGGCCTGTGTTAGGCTATGGGGAGCCAAATACCTTCTCTGGTTCTGACTATTAAAATACTATGATATTGATTAAAGGATGAGTCAATACAAATCTACAAGTAACAACACAGGTAATTATGTTGGTTTTTGAACTAATATGAATCTTTCCTACTAATAACATATATGGTGGTTTAACACAACTTTTAAGTGGTATAGTTTTGTTGGACTCCATGTAGATAGTATGTATGTTTTGGGATGGTACTCTTTTTTGTGAATGTGGAGTGGGGGGAATAGGTTGTACGAGAGGTGGTGGGGGAACATTAGCAAGGGGGGAGTATAAGTCCTCATAATCTTTACTGTCCCATCTTTGAATTTACCTTTTGATGATTGCCATAGTGATATTTTTGGCTGTGTGGCAATAGTAGTGTAAATCAATCTGTTGTCTTAGTTTTCGAGGTGACAAGGTGGATTTACTTATAACACTTTCTGCAGGCCAAACTCTCATACCAGTCATAGCTATGGTTAACCTCCATAATTCTGAATGTTCAGGTCCTAAGTGGGGAACAACGAGCCTTGGCTTTGGAGGGGCAACCCCTGCCCCTTTCCACTTAAAAGGAAAAAAGGAGTTAAATCTACGATATAATAAGGGAAGGTTGTCACTACTTTTTTGATAAGTAATATCATGGAGAAAATGTTGACAATCTCTGTGACCCTGTGAGCAATCACTAGTAATATGACCTTTAGGAGCCCAATCGACAATGGTATAGTGAGAAGAATTAAATAACACCGTTCCTTCTGAACTAACACAATCCTTCCATATTAGTTTGTCAGCATTTGAAAACAAGTTTAGAGGACACATAGGTCCTAACTCCTGTTTTGATCTGCCTTAGAGGTTTTGTTTTTATTTATTTATTTATTTATTTTTATTTATTTATTTATTTTTTGAGACGGAGTCTCGCTCTGTCCCCCAGGCTGGAGTGCAGTGGCCGGATCGCAGCTCACTGCAAGCTCTGCCTCCCGGGTTCACGCCATTCTCCTGCCTCAGCCTCCAGAGTAGCTGGGACTATAGGCGCCCGCCACCTCGCCCCGCTAGTTTTTTGTATTGTTTAGTAGAGACGGGGTTTCACCGTGTTAGCCAGGATGGTCTTGATCTCCTGACCTCGTGATCCGCCCGTCTCGGCCTCCCAAAGTGCTGGGATTACAGACTTGAGCCACCGCGCTCGGCCGGCTGCCTTAGAGGTTTTAATGAGAGCGCTGATACCAAGGGTCCTAAAGGAGGGACAGAGTGACTAGACGGTAGTGTGACCACCCAAGTTTGAATATCTAATGAGAGACATCCATTATTGGGTCCCAGGCACAAAGGTGGATACCTAAAACCTAAAGTGATATTGAGAGGGGTTCTTTCTTCTGAAGATTGGGTAGGACAATGATCATTTAGAGAACCAGGCATCCAAATATTATCATTAACATAGACCTCGATAGGAGCGTCCATCCATGTCATGGCTCGAATAAGAGGAGGAAAAGGAATATAGACCCAATATTTATAGTTGTTAATGGTCTGTGAGGTGACAGAGGGTAGATGGATCAATGTCATCAGGAGGAGGCAGAGGTTGAGCCGGACCTGGATCAC